AGGAGACATATATACTACTATATGTAATACTTTAAACAATAAAAAAAAAATGGAATGTAACAGGAAGTTTTCATAGGAATTTGTACAAAGGTTATAATTATGTTCCTATCATATTAACATACGTCAAGATCTACGCATGAGTCACAGGAAACAAGCTACGGATGCAGCAATATCACGGCCGAGTCTCAAAAATATCAGAAAAGAAGCCAGGCAGGTCTGGGAGTGAACACGGCGCCATTCTACTTACACATAAGCCCAGGAAATGCCCCCTAATCTGGAAGGAAGGAATTGGGTCGTCGCTGCCCGGGGTGGGGTGCACAGAGCCTGACAGCAAAGGAGCACGAGAAACCTTTTAGGGGTGAAGGGCACATACTGTGTCTGTGGTGCTGATTCCTCATGTGTTCACCTATCAGAACTGACCACCCTCTGAATAGGTTGATATAGCATGTAAATGAGACCTAGGTAAGCTGGGAAAGAACACAGGGCAAGGTATTTCCTTTGGAACCGGGTCTAGGGGACTTACAGTTGTAGCCCAAGGCTGCCCGGAGACATAGCCCAGGCTGGGCATGTCCTCACTCCTCAGAGCCTTTTCTCTTCTTCTTCTTCTTTTTTATTTTTTTTTTTAAGAGTGAGTAGAAGGGAGGGAGAAAGACAGAGAGAGAGAAACATCAATTGATTGCCTCCCTCACAAACCCTATCAGGGCTGGGGATGGAGCCTGCAACCAAGGTAGGTGCCCTTGCCTGGAATTAAACCAAACCTTCAGTCTGTGGGCTGATACTCTATCCACTGAGTCAAACCGATCACAGCTCAACTCATCTTTAAAATGAGGCTCTAATTGTGAGTTTTACCTCGTGGGATTGCTGTGCTGATCAAGAGGGATATTCAGTGAATGAGAGCAATTTTTCAACTGTAAAATAACACAAATGGAAGGGAGTGCTGTGGGCAGCTGGCCATTGGGTAGAGACTTCCTTGTTGTACCCACCTGTAAGATCCCCTGGGCACCTGGGCGCCTGGGCGCCATGGTTTGTCTCCTCTTTCTATCCAACCTACCTGGGAAAGCAGCTGTAGCCCCACCCAGAATCCGCCACAATTCAGAAATGCCGAGTTGGCCAAGTATTCTCAGGGAATCCAACCAATGTCAATTGCCAGATAAGCTGGAGAAGGCCAGAGACACTGGATATTTTTACTCATGGGCTCTCCAAGTTCCTCTCAACTCCTGCACAGCCAGCTTCGAGCTCCTTTATCTTCAGGCAGGGGTTGCAGCTAAAGCAGCTTCCTGTCCAGGGTAAAGTCAAAGGCACTTCTTCGAACCCTCTCCTGTAGCGGTCTTCTCGTGCACTGGGCGCTGTCCAGATGTTCTCAGCAGGAGAAACGACAAAGAACAGCACCTGGGACTCCTGGCTGAGGATCTCAACCACCCTCACACCCAACCCAACACAATAATATCATAATCATACTTCTTGTGCCCAGATTATACTTTTAACTTCTCCAAGTCCTTTCCTGTCCTGCCCTGATATCATTTTGTCCTTTCAAAGCCTTGTGAAGACAGGTATTGCGATGCCTGGTCAGCATATTAATAAAAAGGCGTTGAACAGAATACTTAAAAGCAGCTAGTAGTCAGTCAGAAGCTGAACTGGAAGGTCATCTGGCCCCGGTCACAATATCCTTTTGCAAGGTTATATCTCTCAGAGATTATATCTCTCAATCATTAGGAAACATGCTAAAGCCTTTGGCTACAGATAAAGTACCAGCCAGGGGTAGCCTCAAACCCCAATCAAAAACAAACAAAAACCAACAAAAGGCAGAGCTGTATCAGCCAGGACTCCACAAACACACTGTTCAGAGACTCACTTCCACAGTGGGCCACAGACTACAGAAGAGACAAGATAAGAGATAAGAGATGAGAGCCTCACCCCCAGGCAGTGCGAAGGCAGGCAGGGGGAGAGGCCTGGCAGAGGGCTATGCCCACAACTCTCCACAGTTCCTGTGCAGCCACCCTCTTCCTCAGGCCTTTGTCCTTTCCTTCCCACCAACTTCACTCCAGCCTTGACAAAGATGGGCCTTTATTTTTAGAACTTTTAGAACAGAACAGACTATTGGACACAGATTAAAAAAAAAAAAAGAAGGGTAGGCTATTTTGACTCCTTGAAAGTTTTCTTCCTGAGATCTCCCCACCCCCACCTTCCACTGCTCACACACACAGACACCACTCCTGTCCCCTCCCCCAAGGCCGGGTCTTCCCCAGCACAGTCTGGGCTGAGCTAAAAGTCCTAAGGTGGAGAGAAAGTCCAAGGGGATGGGAGCTGGAGTGAGCATAGCCCAGGTCCCCCTGCCTGCTCAGGTCTTCCTCCCTGTTGCTCAGACAAGCACTGAAGAAGCAGCTATAGATCAACACTGTGCCCCTCAGAAGGCCAAGGGGCCCAGAAGGCAAGTGGCTTCTCCAAGACCACCGGCCACCGGACTAGAATGGGCCTGGCTCCTGAGCTCTCTGACAGCACTGGCTGCCACTGTGCTCTCTTCCATCGGAGTCATCCCTCCTTCCCTTCACTGCCAAGTCATCCTCATCCCAGGAGACCTCTCCGCTCTCTCCTGCCTTCCATGTCATCCTGCTCCTTCCTCCAGGCCTGAGGCCTAAAAGGGAGGCTTCTTGGAAGCTAAGCCTGACACTCTTGCTCTCTTTCTTCTCAACTGTCTAAAATAAAGTTAACAGTCTGCTCTCTGAAATCTCGGTGGTCCCTTCTCACTGACCTGAGTTTTGTTAAGAAGGCTGACCACATCGGCCTTTCTGGGGGGAGTAGAAGAGATCTTGTCCCTACAATTCGGGCATCAGGACCAGGCCCAGTGCTTGGAGGCCAGTGGAAGCGATACCAGCCTAGGTGGGGAGTGGAACTAGGTCAGGGATGCCAAGGGCTCAGCCCACATGGAGGCAGAGAATTTGAAGGAGACAGAACACTCTCAGATTTTCAGTAAAGAGAGGCAGTGCTAGTAGCAATAATAGTAGCTGTGATATGTGGAATCATCCAGGAAGGCCCTAAACATATTCACAGGTGTCTTTTAGGAAAGAGATAGGGAGATCTGACTGAAAGAGGAGTAGGTATTGTGACCATGGAGATGTGGCCAGAGTGATGTGGCCACTAGCCAAAGAATGCCAGCAGCCCCCAGGAGCTGGAAGAGACAAGGTGTGGATTCTCCTCAAGAACCTCCAGGTGGGGCACAGCCCTGCTGTCACCTTCATTTCAGCCTAGTGATGCTGATCTAGGGCCTCTGTCTTCCAGAACTATGAGGGAATAAATGTATGTTGTTTTAAGTCACCCAATTTGTGGTAGCTTGTTACAGAAGCCACAGAAACGGATGTAGTAACTGACATTTAATGGCTGCCCACTCTGTACCAGGCCTTTCAGTAACTATTTATCCACATTCACTCATTCTATCCTGGCCCTGGCCATGAGGCACACTGCCTGGTGTGAATCCCCAATGCACTGCTCCCTGTTGTGATGCTGTATGTAACCTCTCAAAACCCATTTCCCAACTCATGTAACGGGCATATAGTTTCCCTTCTCATTGGGTGGCTAAGACGATAAAATGATAACAGGTAAAGTTAGAACTGGACATAGAAAGTTCTCGGTGAATGCTAACTACTATGAGATCTCAGGGGGTGAGCAAGTAAAAATTAAGCCATCATCCTAATGTCAGGACAAGGACCAGATTCCTGGACCCAGAACAGTAAGAAGAAATCCCTTTAAAGCCAGCTTGAATGGCAAACATGATGGTCTGAGCAGTTAAGTATTTCTTCCCTTGACTAAACAATTTAAGTCCTAACACTGGCCTCATTTCTTGAAGGGAAAATGCCCCTGCCGGTGCTACTTCTGCAGCCCTGCCCAGCAGACTTCCGGCCCCTGCATCCCATTCCTGAGGACAGCACTGCATCCATCATCCCACAGGACACTCCCCTGCAGAGCCCACATCTTGTCCCTACAACTCCGGCATCAGGACCAGGCCCAGTGCTTGGAGGCCAGTGGGAGAGAAGCTTGGGTCCATTCCATGGCTTCCCAGCAAGAGGGTGAAATGGAAAAGTAGGGTCTGCTTTGATGTAGAGGTTGCACCAGCTTAGTAAAGAATAAACAAGGCCTGCCAGAGGGCACCCTGCAGGGGAGGGCACCTTTCATGGCCTCTGCCTTCCCAGTGAAGTTTGCCAGCTCCCCCTTCAGGGGATGTAATTCTCAGAAGCAGCGCCACCGGCTCCCAGGCAGTGTCCCCACCAGGAGCTGCAGGCACCCAGGGAGCAGGGCTCCTAGAATTGGTGCCAGCCCACAATCTGGGATGCCCAGCTCCAGAGACTCCCGCTGCTGCCCCTGTGAAGACCAGGCCTCTCACCGGCTGCAAGGCGGCCACTTGCGCGCTCAGCCCTGCCCACCCGCCCTCCGGGGAACCAGGACAGGGGGTCCGCTCCCCTCCTTCCTCTCGAACACCCCATGTCAGCGCTGGCGTCCACCACTAACCGAGCACCCAGGTCCCCGGAGAAAGCGCTTCTCCCGGTCCCTTCCTCCCCACCGGGGAACGCAGCCCCACCCGCCGCTCCTCCTACTCGAAGGGGACGGAGCCGGGCGGCCTCGGAGCTGGAGCCCAGGCGGCAGGAGCGCCGGCCCGCAGCCCCGGCCCCTTCCCGCCCCCGGACACCGGGCCCGGCCACCCCCGCGCTTCGGTCCCGGAGGGCCCGGCCCTCCACGGCCCCGCCTCTGGGGACCTGGGGGCGCCCGGACACACCAGCTGAGACACCGGCTGAGCCCCGCGAGCGGAGAGGCTCTGGGCAAGTACCAGGGGCTCCGCCCCGCGCCCGCGCCCTCGGGCATCCCGGCCGGCGCCCCCGCCCCGCCACACGGGCGCCCCCGCCCCTCGGGACAGGGAGCAGCGGCGGCCCCGGGGCGGGGAGCGGCGGCCCCGGGACCGGGAGCGGCGGGGGCGCGGGGAGCGGCGGGGGACCGGCTGCAGCCGCACTTACGCGCGCGCCCGCGGGAAGCCCATGGACAGGAGCAGGTCCAGCGCCGATCCGTGCCTCACGGTGCCCGGCCGCGGCTGGCGGCTCCGGCGCGGGGCCACCTGGCCGTACAGCTCCTCCCTCGCGGCCATGCCGAGCGCCCGGCGTGCTGGGCCCCGCCGCGCGGCCCGCGGTCCACGGAGGCGCGAGCCCGGCCGTCCGGGGGCGGGGACCGGGCCGGCGGGGCGGGGCGTCCGAGCCGGAGGCGCGCGGAGGGCGGCGGGCTGGCCTGCGGCGGCCTGGGCCCGCACCGCCGCAGCGCTGGGCGGGCGGCCGCCCTCTGTCCTCGGCTCCCGAGCCCCGGCGCCCGGGCTGCTGCGCCCCCTCCCGGGCGGGGCGGTGAGCACTTTCTGAATGGACCGAGCCGCGCGTGGGCGCCGCCCGGCCTCCCGCCCGCCCGCCCCGGCCGGCCTCCCTCCCGCCGCCGCCTCCCTCCCGCCTCGGCCTCCCTCCCTTAAAGCGGCCGCGCCGGGCGGCGGGCCGGCTCCCACCCGGCTGGCTGCGTGCGCTGAGCTTGGGGCAGTCGCTCCCAGCGCCCGACCGTCTCCGTGTCTCTTGCAAGACACCAGATCAACCCAACCCGAATTTCATGTGGTTCTAGATAGGGTTAATAACGGAAATGGAGTGAACTGATGGATGACTTAATGAACCAGAAGGCCAAGCCAGAGTCCAGATGAAAGGTTTTGTTTCCCAAAGACCTGGCAAACCACAGAGGATCCTTACAGCCATTGAAGACCGACTCCTCCAGCCGGCCGACAGTTGGTCACACTGGAAACCTGCCAAGCTCTCCAAGACTGAGAGTGAGGTCAGAGTGGGACCTCAGACTGGGGCCTCGGAAGGAAGAGGCAGGAGGGGAACACAGGGCTGAAAAAGGAAGAGGGAGGAGAAGATGAAAAGAGGAAGGAGGAGGAGGGAGGGAAAGGAAGAAGTGGGGAGTGGAAGGAGGGTGAGGAAGGAGGTACCCAGAAGCCTGCAAGAGATATTCAGAGGAATGGTATTCAAATTCCATTAAGGAACAAGTGCCAAGTGAATAAAAGGATTCGGAGAGAGTGGATCCTCCCTGGTCAGCAGTGAGGAGTCAGTACATTATTTCATAGGTTGGACAAAACTACTCCCACCTCCAACAGATGGATTTCCTACCCGTACCCTATCCTGCATGCCCACCCCAGGAGCTGGGCTCAGAGCTGTTAAGATTCTTTCCTTTGGAGGTAACTTATTTTCCTCTGTCAGGGACAAGGGGTTCACTTAGAAAAGGCCCAGAGCAAACCCTAGCTGCTCCTCTTTCGCGGGTAACTTACTGGACTCCTGTATGTGTCAAACATTGTGCTAACCATAAATGACCCGACTCATTGAATTTTTACAAGGATCCAATGAAATGCGTGTGATTATTTTCTTAATTTTACAGATGAGAAACCTCAGCTCGGAGAAGCTGAGGAAGATCGTGGAGCTGGTAAATGCATGGCCAGAGCTCCTATCCTCAGTGGTACGCTGGACAAATTGCTCCTGCCTTCTACAGCCCCGCACCCTCATCTGTACCCGTACCATCATAGTTCCTTACACACGCTGGGTTCCTCAAAAATGTCAGCTCCTGGCCCTTTATGGAGTGTGGGGGAGGGGTGGTGACCAGCATTCATGAGCAGCTTTTTCATTTTGCTTTAAAAGACATCTAAAAGTTTTACCAGGGAAAATGATAGTTTCAATTCTCTTAGCCCAGAATTGGTTTTCTGAAGAATACCCAGAGGTATTTGAAAGTGGGGAGATAAGAACTACTGGGCCTTAAGCAACAGTGTGCATACTTCCTGGGGGGAGCCTTGCAGAGGGTTTTTCCCGGACGTGGAGCACAGGGCTGGGCTGGGAAGACAGAACCTAGTAGACATCCTCTTTGGGAATGTGTTCAGGAGAGGATGGCGAACCTTCCCAATATTGCGAACTTCTTCCAAATGCCTGGGCTTAGAGTCAAGATCTGGAGCCTAGTCAAGAGCTACTAATGCCTGTGGAAGTTCTTGTTAACCACAGCGCTACACAAATCGTAACTCAAACGTACTGAGACCTTTCTGTATGCTAGTGCTGCTTTTAGGTTCTCAGAGACAGAACTCACTCTCTCAATAAGGCAATGAAGTAGGTGTAAGGGGTGGGAGGGCACCATGTGCCTGACAATGAGGTCAGACCAAACCTAGCTTCAGCACCCTCAGTTCTTGGGTTCTGGCTAGGAGAGAATTCAAAGCCAAGACTCCAACTGTAAGAGAATGTTCAGTTATAAAATTACAGAGGTAGAAGAAGTAATTCGTAGAAGAGATGTGCTGAGGAAATGAGTTATGGGGTCAAAGGAAGGGTCCTAGGGGCTCGGAAGTGAAGCTAATGGTAACGTGAAGGGGCGTGGCGTTGTTTTGGAGGAGAAAGAGAAAGGCATGGCTGTGCTCCCGGAGGGAGAGGGTCTGCCTTGGGTTTTAAAGGTGGAGATGTTAGGGGAATAGAAGACTCAGCAGCTTTCCAGGGCAGAGGGTCATCATTCAATGCAACTGGTCCTGAGGTCAGCCATAAGGTCCCTGGTCTTATTTTGCTGCTCTTCTGGACCTGGAGCTGAAATATAACTGAGGCCTAATTATCTCTAAGGAGGAAAAAGGTCAGGAAGTCTAAACCTAATGACCAGTGATATGTGAGGGGAGGAAAGGCCACCCTGGGGACGAGTTCCTACCCCACCATTGTTCTTTGCTCGGCACCTGGGGCTTTCCACTCTGGTGACCTTCTGTACCTGGCGCACTTCCTTGCTCTGCCCATGTCTGTCCAACTGCCTACCAAGTCACTTCTGTAACTAGCTAGCTAATATTAATAACAGGAAAAGAACAAATGGGATGCCAGACATTTTAAGCATGGTTATCTGGGTAGCTTCACCAGAAAACTGTAAATCATACTCCACAGGGAACTACCAGTCCATTCCCTGCAAGTCCCTGGGGGAAGGGACCCACTAGGGGAGAAATGGATGCATGTGCACTGAGGCTGGGCCATGTAGAAAAGCTGCGTCTCTGTCAGTCTGGTCTGAGGAACAAAGATAATTGGCTAGAGGGGTTAGAGCACTGCAAGCTCAGAAGACCCTGAAGGATCCATTGGTTAAGCTCTTAGTTAAAAACCCCAAAGAATTCTTACTTTCTTGTTTTTCTTGTGTGTTCCTGCTTCCTTGCAGGTGCTTGCTCTGTGACCCCAGCTAGCCTACCATGTGGCCTTAGCTCCATGGGGAATCCACACTCAATGGACTATGGCAGGGAAGACAAGCTGAGTAAGATGCTGGACTGGACGTGCTTCGACATGGAATGGAAGCTTGGGCAGTGGCTTTGATTCTAGCTCTGCTGAAGACACGGTGGGACTTTTCTCATGGCATAGGGAAGGAAGTGGGACCTTGCAAGGGAACTGCTTGATCTTACCTCACCAATAAAGCTTTCCATGATACCTCAGCCTCCTGTGGGAGCCTCAGGAAATCCTTTTTTCTGAGGCAAACCAAGAACTCCACATCTACCTGCAACAGGGTGTGTCCTTTCAGTGTTGTATTCTCCACTGATTGATTCTGTTGTAAACATAAATGACTGCAACAGGTAGAAATGGTAGGGCCACCCTACCAGTAACAGGTACAACCATATTATCACTGGCCACTTTACAAATATATTGAAACAGACAGAGGTCAACTATCTTGTCATATATTATATGTCAAATAAGTGGTAGAAACGGGATTTGAACTCTTAAAGTTTGTCCAAACAGCCATTTACCATCATTTTTATGATGGTAAAGAGATACCAACCATTAAAATAACATTGGTTGCCCAGCCAGTGTGGCTCAGTGGTTGAGTGTCGACCTATGAACCAGGAGGTCACTGTTTGGATTCCCAGTCACATGCCCGCATTGCAGGCTCCATCCCCAGTGTGGGGTATGCAGGAGGCAACTGATCAATGATGCCTTATCTCTGATGTTTCTATCTTTCTCCATCTTCCTACCTCTCTAAAATCAATAAAAATATATTTTTAAAAAATAACATGATCACCTTTTGACTCCTTTTATGCCCCTTGACACAAAATTGCTGGATCTCTGTTTCTTCAGAAAAATTGAATTAACTGTCTTTGTGTGGGAGGAAGAAGCTTTCTTCTACCCTCAAGTTTCTTTCCTAATAACCGAGTAGACATGCAACTGATTCACAAGAGGAAATAACCAACAGGGGAACCCCAAGTACATGAGGGAGAGTCAGGGTTCAAAGACAGAAAGGGAACATGGGTACCTAGGACATTCTGAGCTAGGGATGAATAAGGTGCTTTGAGGGCTTTGATGGATCATTTCAGGACAATAAAAAAGCAGTTATTATCAGTTTGCCCTTTCCAATAGATAATCTCTATTATGGGCAAGACCCCTTACTCAAATTCATCTAGGTAGTTAAGATGGGGCAGAAGTTTCTCTTGAGCCTTTTCTAGAGCTGAAGTTGCCATTAGCTCAAAACAGTCTGCTACCACAGAGGCACAACTTGGGGTTGCTCTTTCTGGACCTCTAAATCTTCTTTTTCTAGGCAAACTGAGAGGAAATGATGGATATAAAATAGCTTTAGGTAGTCTGGAGAAAGCACTATGGAAAGCCAAACACCTGTTTTGTCTGGGGCACTTTTATAGACATCCCAGCCTGACTACCTCACTGTCCTTCAGCTTAGTGCCAGCAGCCAGACTGTTGCCATTGTTTTGCAAGGGGTAGGGGGCTGGCAATTAAGGTGCACTGTGATTTAATGGTATTGACTTTTAAAAGCTAGGGAAAGCTTTATAAATGTCCATATTGTTATTTTACAAAGAGAGATGACTTTGCATCTGACAGGATCTCTGATGTGAGGCCATGGCCAGCATGGCCTGGGTTCAAAGACCTGGAGGAAGGGCTGATGTGCAAATTAATACACAAGACAAGAAATATAAATTTGGAAATTAGGGGGAAGCCAGTTGTGAACTTTTTTGAGGGACCAAATTCCACTGAATCTCTGTTCCCATCTGCCTTTTATTTACTAGAATACACAATTGCCTTTTAGGAATGCAAACAGCCATATCAATGGTAATGTTCGGGAAACAATAAAGAAAACATCAGGTTTGGGGGTTGCCTTCGCCTATTGAGTCAGCAGCAGATAATAAAGTGCAGATGCTCAGCCCTGTGAATATCAAAGCCCATTCAGCCTTCTGACCAAACTTCTCACATTTGTATTAATTACTGTTGATCTTGGCTCCCTACATTCTGACAGCAGGGAGCTGCCCTGCAGAGGGAGACAC